ATCTGTGGTCTTCGTCCTTTATTCTATTTTGCTTCTTGAGTCTGTTTAAAGTGTTGTTAAGTCGGTTGGTGAGTGATGTCATAGGATCCTTGTTGGTGATGTGGTATGCAGTTTTGTCATTAAGTAGATCAAGGATTTTATGGTCATAATCATGTTTATTTAAAATTACTGTAGATCTACCTTTATCAGCTGGGAGGATACCAGGTCTTATTTTCAGGGAAACATGATAGCTAGCGAATTCTGGGAGTTGAGGTCCACAAATGTTAAATTTGCCAAGGTTGGTCACCTCTGTTCTAAGCATTATGGATCTTCTTCAACACCATATTAACAAATTTGAGACATTGAAAGAAGATACTCATGTCATCTGAGCACACCCACCCATTTTTATATGTGACAAACTTTATACTAATTTACAGTATATGTAGGTTGACTTTACCTTCCAGAAATTATATATTAACTTTCTGAAAAATAATTGTTTTCCCCATCTGCCAATAGTAAACATTCTTTCTCACAAACAAAATGACTCAGATATATGTTTTTCTTGAGGAAAAGAAAGGAAGCAAAAACAGATTGATGATGGAATAAGGAAAAGGAGTTACTGCACATGAAAAGGAGCAAAAGAGAAATAGGGAAAATGATAAAAGCAAGAAGATAAGTATGAGCAAGAGATAACAGGACAGGGAATAAAAAAAAAGACAGAAGAACCCTATGTCAAAATTAAACAGTCAAGCAGCAACAAATCTTCAAGCTAATATTTAAAGATATTTCCTACCCTTTGCAGCAGCAATGTTTTTGTTTTCAATATCTTCTTTATTTTTTACAAGGGATATCATCTTTCCTCATATTATTTACAAGAAGAAAAAAAGAAAACTTTCTTATAAACACAGGTTAAGAATTCTAATTAATGTTTTCTTTCTTTTTCTTTCTAACAGGATGCCGATATAAGGGAAAATCGGTTCAATTTCACGGGCTATGGAATGGGACCACCTTGTATACAAGCAAAGGATGGAGTGGTCCCAAAAGGATCCAATAATCCAGTTCAGTCTGCATCCCTTACTCCTGAAGAAATGAGGAAAGTATTCATTGATCGGGCCAAGAAAATTGATACTATATCCAGAGCCTGTTTCCCTTTAGCCTTTCTTATATTCAACATTTTCTACTGGGTTATCTATAAAATTGTTAGGCATGAGGACATTCACCAAAAACAAAATTAAGGTTTTCACTTTTTAACAGTTCTCATTTTGATTACAGTGGTAAAAATCAGTATTGAAATACTTTTTAAAGAACAAGAGCTCGATGGGGGGAAAAACCCAAGAAACAAAATACTTATGTGACTTGCTATGCAAAGTCACAATGATGCGGGGGGCAAGACATCCAATAAAGATGCAGCATAGGGTTAGGGTCTACCATAGTATTTCTACTTGTCATTAACTTTAGTTTTGCAAAGTAAATGACAATGCTGCTAGGTAAAATGTTACTGCCAATCTTTCTACATATTGTTACATAATAATATAGTATTCTTTGAAGTCCTTGTTATAATTTTTAATTCAGCTATATTTTTTTAATCTATGAAAAAGAAGTCCCCAAAGTCCTGAGATAAGTGCCATACAATCAAGCCTACTTTAAATTTTATAAGTGAACACTGTTTTGAGTCTTGAGTTTTAAAAATCTTAACTATTTTAAGTAATAAAGCTTGTTTTCTAAATTTAAGGACACTGCCAATGGGCTTTGTATTAAACAGAATGCATTTTAGATAATATACTGAAAAAATAAACTGCATGCAAACACAAATACACGCAATCCACAAATCACTTATTCTATGAAATTATACCGATGTTTCCTTTAATGTGTCGATTCTATTCTGGAAAAAGATACACTGGTAATTGCCAGCCATATCACAAATATGACTGACAATTGATTTCAGATACAAGTTTTTTGACATACAAAAAGGCAGGTTAGGTCATTGCATATTATTCAGCACAATGTTAGAAATTTTGATCTTCTTTTGAAGGTGGGCAGGGAGTGAGGGAAAGGGAAAACAGCAGCTCAATGTCATAAATTTTTAAAATGTATTGTTTATTTGTTTATTTATTTAGAAAATTTATATAGCCTACTCACAGTGACTCTAGGCAGCTTACAAACAATAAAACACAGTATAGGGGGAAAAATTAAAAAATAACCCACCACCCATCTACCCCTGGCAACAACACTCAGTCAAATAAGCCATTTGATGGGTTCCATCCCACTCTGGGTTCCCCAGGCCCACTGGCGAAATCAAGTCTTCAGGGCCTTATGAAAGAGTGTTAAAGTGGGATCCAGTTTAATTTCTGAAGAGATGATATTCCAAAGGGAGGGAGCCACCAACAGAGAAGTCCCTTCTTCTGGGTCCCACCAGAAGTACCTCCATTGGGGACAGGACCCATAACATTCCTTGCCTCCCCACTCTAATAAGTTGGGTGGATATGACTGGCAAGAGACGGTCCCTCAGATAACAATCTGAGATATTAGATGGTAGTGTAATATTTCCAACTCAGTACAATATTTTTCAACAACCATTTTATCACTGCAATTTTTGGCATAGCTTTGACAAATAAACTGGCCCTAGTGCAATGATTTGGCTTTATCTATTGTTACATAAGAGACAGATTTACCCATCCATTCATGTAAGTGCTCATTATAAATAATATTGGCCTGAGGATGTTAACCATGCTTAAAATTATTCAACTTATAGGTAACATATACTCAATTAATTATACTGTATACCTACTTACTGAAAAGTTAGAACCATTGGAATCAAACTTCTGAGGTAAATACATTTAAAATCAGCCTGATTCAGCATTCATTGACAAGTCTAATAATAAACACTTAAATAATTTTTGAACCACTTTTTCCAAGAAAACAGGCAGCATATTTCAGGATTCTGAATCAATGTTCATTGGAAATATTAAATCATTTGTTGGATCAAAAAATATTTCTTGGATTAAAAAATATCCTAATGATGGATTTCTGGAATATTTTATATCAAAGTTATTGTCTGTTTACAAAAAGTAAACTGGAAAATTGCACTCTACTATCTCTTGATGTAGAAATGAGGCTGCAGAGATATACAATTATTTATGGTTCAGCTTTAACTTCATTCTGTCTACACGAACAGTCATCTGTTTTAGTCATCTTTTCCTGAAACGTTAGTCTTGATAAGCCAAAATAGACTTTGTGTAAAAGCTGTAGAATTCATATCTGAACTTGGACTCAGAAACATTTCAAAACGTTTTGAATGTTTCTGCCGCTTCAATTTTTGATTTTTTAAAAAGCTTTAAAATGTAGAATTTTTATATTCACATTGATTATTTCAAATGTAATTAGAAGTTCTCAGCACAGTGAGAGTCTACATTTCTTTCTGTATCTTCTGGCTTTTTAACCAAAGAAGTTAGGCAAAAAAGGCTAAAGGGATCGTTATATGAAGAATAGCAGTTGTAGTTATTTATTCCATTATCATGTTTGGCCTTTCTTAAATGTTTAGTTCCTAATAGACATATCAATCATATTCCTTGTTTATATTGTAGTCTTCACTTGCTCAGCAAGAAACCATTTCAACTTTGAGTTGTGATTAAAGGAATCAGTCACTGTATGCAAATACTTCAAGCACTACTTTAAATCATATTGTTTTTACCTAATTTGGCTTCTTCATCTATTTAATTTTGTTTATTCATAAACAAAAGTGTGTTTTAAACATGGGATAAAGACATCAGCATCAGACTGGTATTATAAGTATTCAAGTAAGATCTTGAATCTTGAATAGAATAGAGCTGGAAGGAAACTTGGAGGTCTTCTAGTCCATCCCCCTACTCAAGCAGGAGAACCTATACCATCTCAGATAAGTGACTGTCTAGTCTCTTCTTAAAAACCTCCAGTGATGGAGCACCCACGATTCTGGAGGCAAACTGTTCCACTGGTTAATTATTCTCACTGTTAAGAAGTTTATCAATGATTCCAGGTTGCTTCTCTCTTCAATTAGTTTCCAACCATTGTTTCTTGTCCTGCCCTCTGATGCTCTAGAAAATAATTTGACCCCCTTCTCTTTGTGGCAGCCTCTCAAATACTGGAATGTCACCCTATTTCTTCTTTTCTTTAGACTAGTTGGTCTTCTGGGGTCTTGGCTATTCTTGCCAGTTTAGTGTAATCTGCAGATTTGATGAGTTCCGCTTCTATTCCCTCATCTAACTCATTTATGAAGATATTGAAGAGTACTGAGCCTAAGATGGAACCTTGTGATACCCCACTGCTTACTTCCCTCCATGTAGATGTCGTACCATTAAGGGCCACTCAATGAGTATGGTTTGTCAGCCAGTTACAAATCCATCTGGTGGTGATGCTGTCTATCCCACATTTTTCTAGTTTATCAAGAAGTAGGTAGTGTTTACTTTGTCGAATGCCTTGCTAAAGTCTAAGTATACCATATCTATAGCATTTCGCTGGTCTACTTTGTCAAAAAATAAAATAAGATTGGTTTGACATGATTTGTTTTTAACAAACTCGTGCTGTCTACTAGTTATAACTTTGTTTGCTTCTAGTTGTTTCCAGATCTGTTTTTTGATTATCTTTTCCAGGATCTTTCCAGGTATTGATGTTAGACTGATTGAGCTATAGTTTCCTGGGTCTGTTTTTTTTCCTTTCTTGAAGATGGGAACCACATCAACCCTTTTCCAATCCTCAGGTACTTCCCTGGTGCTCCAGGATTTATGAAAGATATGGTGCAATGATTCTGAGATAACATCTGCCAGCTCCTTCAGAACTCTGGGATGTAATCTGTCAGGTCCAGGTGATTTATATTCTTCAAGGTCAGATAGGAGTTCTCTTACCATTTTCTTGCTTATTTTAATTTTTGTTTCTAGTTTGTCTTTTGCAGTAGTTTTTTGGTTATGTTGGGCTATAATTTCTTTTTGTGTGAAGACTGATGCAAAGAATGAGTAGCTCTGCTTTCTCCCTGCTGCCTGTTAATAGTGGGGTGAGTTTTAATGTAGACTGAAAAATAAATTGAGTGCAATTCTACTTGCATATAAAAATATGAGTTGAAATCTATTTGCATACAATATTGTCAATTGAAAGTGCTTTTTTAAAAACATCACTGAAATAGAATAAAAAATTCCTAATTTGTAGATATTCTGCTTCCCACTGGAATTGGGTGGCCAGTAAATATATAATAGTATTAAGGAAATTGAGAGGGAAAGATCACCTAATTAATTCCTATGTAAATTGTGCTGCTATCTTTATAGCATATATTCCTAGGAAAGAATTAGCCACTTTGACTAATTTTCTCAGGACTACATTACAGTACAGTTCTCAGAACTATAGTCTGCACACATGATAAAGTTGTGCAAAAAAACCAGAAGATAATAATAATAATAACAATAATCAAATGTCTGCAAAAAGCTGATTATCTTTTTGGAAACAAGACTAACAATATTTTCTGTCACCAGGAACGTACCCTTTCAGGAAACTCAGACAGATTTGGCCAATATTAATTGGTTCTAATGAGGATAAGGGCTCACAATGGCTCAGCAGTTAAGATACTGAGCTTGTCAGCTGGAAAGCTGACAACCCGTGTTCAAGACCTGAGTGCCGCACAACTGGGTGAGCTCCCATTACTTATCCCAGCCATTGTTAGCAGTTCGAAAGCACACAAATATTAATAGATAAATAGGTACTACTTTGGCAAGAAAGGTTATTGCATTCTGAATTTTCATACTGGCCATGTAATGATGGAAGCATCTCTCAGACAAACATAGGCTCCCTTGGCTGAGAATTGGAGATGAGCACCACCTCCTTGAGTCTGTCATGGCTGGACAGGGAAAACCTTTAACCTTTTAATAGGATAATTATGTCTTGATTTGCATCCTTTCAAATAATAGCTTGAAATGAAGCCTCATATTAATTTAGTGCAAAATGAAGATAACATGCAAACAGATTTGTAACATGGAAGTTGCTTTTTCACTGAAAAATCAGTGGAGTAGCCAAACTGTGTGTTGTATAAAGACCTGTACACTGTTATTACCCTGGATGGATTCTGAGAGACTGAAGGAAGCAATTTGGTCAAAGCTGTGAAATGATGGTAACGTTGATCTCTTGATATGCTTCAACATTATTGCATTTTCTTTTTTTGCCATCTCCATTATATATGCATAAGACTTGGGCCCCAGGTTTGCAATTATCAGAG